AATCATTTCTGAATTAAGCTATTTTCTGTTATATCACCAATGTTTTAAAGACACTCGGTCATGAAATCCAACCCCTCTGGGCATCGCACCAAATTTTGAAATATGTCCCAGAAGGCACTGATAAACTACTTGATGCTACTATTCAGAATCTGTTTTCAGATTTGAAATCTTTAAAGTACGAAAAAAAGATACAGCTGTATGTAAATTTTGCTGTTCATGAGGGCTAAGTTAATCTGTTTACATATCTATATCAATAAGTGAGGACTAAGCTAATCTGTTTACGTATCTAAATCAATAAGTGAGGCAGAAGATACATCAATTTCTTCCTGCAAATATGAATGTTCAGCTTCATCCACTACGTCTTCGGGAATTGTACTATCACTGTCAATAAATACCTTCATTTTAGCTGGAGTTAAAGAAAAGAATGCCTTTATCTTGGTAATGGTGACACGAAATTTATCTTGCCAATTTCCTAGAAGGACTGAATTCATCAGAATCTGATGAGCTTTATTGGTGGACACTTTCCAACTTTTGTTTCTTTTTCGCATTTCGTATAACTCAATTAACTTTTCCACACAGTTCCTGGTCATTTCATCTTTCATATTCCCTGGATAGCATGCCCACCCTTCTGACTGCTTCTGGACAAAATGTAGTAGTTTCACCTCCGACATGCTTATATCTGCTTCAGGACGATTACAGTGAACCAGAGACAGTGCTTGACTAATGGCTAGTGACTAATGAGTAATCCTGACTTGATCTTGTTCATTGAACCCAGAATTTGTAGGTCAATCAGGTGTAAATAATGGTGCCTTGGGGGATGTAAATGGCAACCTCGGTTCAATATTCAGTTCATTTGATCTACATGCATTAAGCTTGAACACTACAACAACTTCTGCCTTGGATATATTGGACGAGCAAATGATTTTAGCAGCATTAACCTCCCATTAAACCTCATGTGTGCTTCAGCTTTTGGTTGTTGCTTTGAACTTTTTCACTAACGTTAGACCATTCAATAGATTGGCATCAAGTACTTTTCCATTAGTGCCTACAATCCCATCTCTAAATGTTAAGGCTTTGTATATGTCCATTTCCATAGTTATGTCGTTTCCGTCTTCCACAAATGAGTTGAATGTCAAATTGAAATATGAAAAGTAGGTATCCAGTCTCCCTCTATCAGTTTGAACCTCCGTATAAATCCACTTCTGGACATGGAGAATGTCCCCATCAGTGGAAGACTGCATTCCAACATTGAGATGGTATATATATATGGGATCAGATCCTGTGAGGCAAGGCATTGTCACGTTGAAGAATCACTCTATGGATATCAAGTCAATTTGTTCGAACATCCTGTAGCATCTCTTTCATTACAGCCGCAACTCGCAACTAGTACATTATCTTGTCCTGGTATCCTTCCGCCACATAACTAACGAATTCGTACTGAAATCCAGGTACACCTTCATCGTCACACACCCATCTGACCCTCATTGAACCAAGCAATGACATACCCTTTTTACCAAAGTACCCCACTTGACGTTCTCTGTACTTCATGGGTAACACCTGCTGCTTATGGTCAAGCACAATAAGCATCATTGATGAATCAGTCTTCATTTCTTCTTTAACTTTGATGATTGCATCAAATTGAACTTTTGCTCTAAGCCTATGGGCCATGTATCATAATGTTGTATTTTGTAGAATCGGGATGGATGCTAACATTGACTTTACTTACTTTGTTGTATCAAGATCATCCACTAGCAATGAGGCAGCCTACATCAAGATTGGCTTAACAGAAGTGTCATAAAAATTGACGCATTTGCTACACTTAATGCAATAGTTGTGGTTGTGAACATGATCACATCGTCCACCTAATGCAAACGTACAGCAATGGGTCTAATCGTAGACGATAAACTCAAATGCTTGTGTGTGTGTGTTCATATGTCAGAAATAACATTATTTCTTTCCATCTCTGTAGGATTTTCTCGACACTTGCTTGAATATTATTTGCCGCAATTTATTCAGGATACTTCATGGTGGTTAATCTTGCCATCATAGACTCGAGTACTGAACTGACATACCTTAATCGAATATAGTAAGTTGACAAACCTCTTTTTGTCAGCAGTTTAACGATATTATTAAATGTATGGCTATCAAAGGAGTTCTTATACGCTTTGTGAAGGTTTTTGATACTCCGTCCGCCACGTTCATAAACTGGCATATCTGAAAATACCTGGTTGTCAATCCTTACATTCCTTGTTTGACCAGGCTTTACTTGAAGGCTTCGTTAAATGAGTGTAATTGATGTTGCAATCCTCTGGCTGTTCACATGGAAAGTATAATTGTGTTTTAGCAGATCTGTTCCACGCTTCAGAGTAGCAAACGTCTTTCACAAGGATGAAAACTTTACTTTTACCATTGAGTGCTTTGGAACTGGTATAAGCTGTTTTTGTTGGTCTGGTAGGCTATTGAATTCGTCGGCGAGCATCCTTTTGCATGTATGTCGTTCAGTTGAATTTGTCAAAATACTTTGAGCAACCACAGAAATGTTTCTGTACCAATCAAGTGATAGCTTGCACAAGCTTTTGGAAATGGGTTTTGTCATATATTTCTCATAAGACTAGTTTATCGATAAAATACGTCTTCGATTCAAATAAATTGGTAGGATACAAAAGTTGTAATAACTTATCGGTTATTTGTGTACATATTTGAACAGCCTTTGTCTGACACTTTGCTTTAGCTTTATATCCACCTATGGGTAAACATTCCAAGGATGTGCGATTGGTAATACCCAAGGCATTGAATATAGTAGTAATAGTTTTAGAAGCTTCAGCATTTCCATGTTCTCCAAAATTAATATCATACACCTTGCTTTCTTCTAATCTAATTCGATTTTGACCTCTCATGGCACTTATCCTTCTCATTACTCTTCTTTCTCCACTTTCAGCATCATTTCTTTGCTTCCAATAATATGATTTGCTTTATTCTAGCATGAACCCAAAGGTAAGCAGCATTTACAAACGGCACAGGCGAAGCAGTCTCCTTTCTTTCTATGTTTATGTTCCTGGCAAGGCACTTTACAGGTTTCATTTAAGATTATATTCTTTCAATCAGAAGAAGCTTTTTTAGATTGGATTATCGTTTACGTGGTCTGGCGCCTCCAATCCGTTTTTTCCCTAAATTTGGGTCATTTTTTCACGACTGGGGGTCTTAATAAAAAAAAAAACTACGTACATAGACTAACAACAATATTAGGTTATACTTTTGTTCCTAAGTAACATGACATAAAAGCCATTTTTGGAACGTAGTGTTACCAAAACACACTGGATTTTCTATATATTAGAAGTTGTTAATCTAACTGATTTTTACCAGTAATTATTTTATGAATACGACAAGAATTCATTTCATGAATGATCTTAATTTTGATTGGCTCACAAAGGAATTTACAAATTTTAATTCACTTTTTATTCTAACCATGAAAAAAACCCAAAATAAATTTGTGGGAGATTGAATAATTTTGTTGTATGTTTGAAAAAATAT